ACTCAGTCGATCTGGGGCTTGAAGCTCTCTGGTTAGATTCGAACCAAACCAGGCTTGGTTTGGTTATGAGGAAGGTCAGGGGAGTCACTGGTAAGAATTTGGGGTGGATCGGCATAGGCTGAGGTTTGGCTCGAATCTTCAAATGAAGTCGAGACAATGTAGGTTGATTCGAGACAAGGGAGTAACATATTTGGAACGGGGGTGGTCAGACGGCTTAGGGGTGTTAATTTGGTGACCGACGGCGTTGATGCCGCCGGGTTTCAGGCGACGGGGTAAGGTGGCGGCGCTAGGGTTTCATGGGGTCGTCTGGTTCGTTGAGAGAGACGAAGAGAGGGTGGGTAGCTTAGGGGGTGTGGGGGTACGTTTGAAAACATATATAGTGGGTGGAGGTTTGATCTTGGTCGTTGGATCAAGAATGATCAACGGCCAAGATCTTTCACTTGGGTGAAACGACGTCGTGTGATTTAAGTGAGACTGGGTCGGTCTCTGGGGTTAAGTGGGTCGGGTATCAGGGAGAGCCTGGAGCCGTTGGATTGGATGGGATGAACGGCTCTGATTGGTCATGCCTAAACGACGTCGTTTGGATTAATGAGAGAGCTGAACTGGATCAATGTATTTTGGGCCTGATTTTTCTTGGGTTTAAAATGAGCCCAGGTCCGAATTTTTCTCAATTTTTGCACTCTTTTCTTTTCCTTCTTTAATTTCTAATTAAAAAACACAATTTCTAATTAAATTATAAAATCAAAAATAAACTACACAAATATTAATTAACACTTACCACAATCAACACAAATTAAAATATTTGATTAAAATAAAATCACACAATGACGACAAATAAAAGAAAAATAAATATTTTTGCGATTTTCCTTTTAGAACCAAACTATGATTTGATTAATTCCTAAAAGCACAATTAAATCCTAAATATGCATGCAACATGTATTTCTTATATTTTATGATTAACTACAACAAAGTAAACATTTACGTACAAAAATAATTACCAAAAATGTCACGCAAATTCTCAAAATTGTACTCGAAGGTAACTTGTTTTATTTTTGATTTCTTTTGGAGTAATTTCCGTGAAGCAAAAATCACGTGCTCACAACCTTTCGTGCTTTGCACTCTTCCTCACCCAAGCAACAAATCACAAGGCAAATAGGGTAAGGGAATCTATAACATCGAAATAAAATAAAGTAACAACAAAAAATCAGTAAGTAAACACAAAGGACAACGTAACTCAATTATCAGCAAGAATCAGAAAAATCAAGGACAAGTGCACGACATCACCCATCGTGCTTTTACTCTCGTCCTCACCATAAGAATCAACATAAACTGCACAACATCACCCTTCATGCTTAACTCTCATCCTCACCATAAAATCAATATAATAGGCACGGAATGGTAGATCGTGCGACACGACATCACCCTTCGTGCTTTACACTCTTTTCTCACAAATCATACATGACATCACCCTTCGTGCTTTACCCCTTGATTCCACCAGCAATTCGCTCATATCTAGCCACAAGTTACTTAATTATATCAATAAACGCTAAATGAATCAACTCAAATGCATGAAAATAAGTTTTGCAAAGTTTTACCCAAAAAGTCAAAAATTGCCCCCGGGCCTACATGGTCAAAACCCGATACCCATTCCCCCACGAACTCAAATATATAATTTGTTTTGAATTTGGACCTAAAATTGATGTCCAAATCCCCAATTTTTAAAAAACCTAGGTTCTACCCAAAACACTCAATTTCTCCCCATGAAAATCATTGATTTTGAATTGAAATCATGTTAAAAGATGTTAATGATTGAAGAAAACGAGTTAAAATTGACTTACAATCGATTTGGAAGAAGAGTTGTCTTTGAAAAATCGCCCAAGAGTGTTTTGGTCTTGAAAGAGTGTGAAAAATGGGAGCTCTTCGGCTAATATAAAAATTACAGGTTCCAGATATGGGAATTGAGACCAGGGTTAGCAATTGCGAACCCCGACCTCTGCTATGTTCGCATTTGTGAAAAGGGATCGCATTTGCGAGCTGGGAATTGTGATCCACATGTCGCATTTGCGACGACTGGCCACAAGCTGGGGGATCATATTTGCGATCAAAATCCTCGCAATTGCGAGATAGGTTGGCCTGGGCTACTTTCGCAATTGCGACATAGTCCTCACATTTGTGATATCGCATTTGCGAGTCATGCGAAGCCTGCAGGCTTGCACAGAAATAGCTGAATCCTGCAATTCCTTAAGTCCAAAAATTCACCCCGTGGCCTATCCAAAACTCACCCGAGCCCTCGGGGCTCCAAACCAAACATGCACACCAACCTAAAAATATCATATGGACTTGCTCGTGCATTCAAATCACTAAAGTAACATCAACAATTATGAATTTAGTATCAAAATCATGAAATTTTCTTAAGAACTTCAAATTTCTAATTTTTTTAAAAAACGATCCGATTCACGTCGTTTCAAGTCCGTTTCTTACCAAATTTCACAAACTTATATTAAACTACATATAAGACCTGTACCGGGCACCGAAGCAAAATACGGGTCCGATACCATCAAGTTTTAATCACAATTCATTTCCAAAACTCATGAACAATTTCAGAAAATAATTTTCTTTAAAAATTCGTTTCTCGGGCTTGGGACCTCGGAATTCGATTCTGGGCATTAAAGTCCCATATTTTCCTACGGACCCTCTGGGACCGTCCAATTATGGATTCGGGTCCGTTTACCAAAAATGTTGACCGAAGTCAATTTAAACTCATTTTAAATGCAAAATTCATCATTTTTCACATATTTTCATAAAATGGCTTTCCGGCTATGCGCCCGGACGGCGTACGCAAATCGAGGTGATACTGAAAGAGGTTTAAGGCCTCGAAAAACAGAATTCACTTTAAAACAAGTGATGACCTTTTGGGTCATCATAATCCCTATCCTAAACGTAAATCCATTCCCCGTAATTTAGGTTCAAGATCTTGCTCTACTCAATCCTATATTCAATCTAGAATTCCCTCTCCCGAGTTCAATCCTAGATTCATAGATAGTGTTCAATTGGTGATCAAGCAATCAAATAACTAAGCACAAGATTGAATAAATAAACAAATGTGATAAAATAATAAAAACAATTCAAGCTTCAAACTACAACGTTCATGTAGCACCCACAACTCTAGAATTAATAAACTATGAAATTAAAGGAAGAGAAGAGAAGAAAAACTAGTTAGAAACCTCCTCCAAGCGTTGTTTGTGTTCTCCCCTCCAAAGTGGTGTGTTCTCCTTCAAAGTATGTTAGATCTCTTCCAAATTAGGTGTAGAACCCCTTTTGTAAGAGTTGGGACCGTTTAGGGCCCAAAAGACCTTCTCCAAGTCGAAATAGGACAATTCCCGAGATTGGGTGCCCTAGGCAGCGCGTCGCGCTAGCCTGGATACTGAAATTTTTTGTCTTTTGTTTCTAGCGCCACAGGTAGCACGTCGCGCTACCCTGGACGCTAGAATTCGGAACTCGTCCATTTTTCTTCTTCTTTAGCTCCAACTCATGCGCTTTCAATCCATTTCACTCCCAATTAATTCCTATACATATAAACACCAAAAATTAGCTCAACTCATTGCAATTACACATTAGAACAATCAAGAATGGAGACGTAAGGCGGTTCATATACAAAAATACATGCTTTTGGCCGAACATCAACACCCCACACTTAGACTTTTGCTCGTCCTCGAGCAATCTAAACTTTACCATCTAAACTACTCAACTGAAAATACCACATCATAAGGGAGCATATGACCATTAAGCACACTATACCTATGACTATGGTTAATACCAACAATTAAGCATGGGCATATAAATTCACACACTTCCAAATCTTCACATGCCAAAACATAAGTAAACCATTTTAAAGCATTCAAACAACCTTCCATTCAAACAACCCGCCCATAACCACCCCACTTCAAAGGGTGACTCGTTGTCATTAAGTATTCTTAGTCAGCACTTTTAACCCAACAAGAAAAGTTTAATAAATTCACCTATCCTTCAGGAGATCACGTGCTCTCACCAATAAACAAGAGAAGGCATAGTCCACATATTCAATTCAAAAGATCAAATGTAATTCAATGACTCACACACAAGAACAAAAATTCACTCGCTTTCACAAAAAATTTATGTACATCCCAATGCCGTACCATAGGCTTGCCCGTAATTTAGGACTCGACTAATCTAAGCCTGCTAAATCTAGGATCAATTGAGACTTTATGTGTTGTAATATATGCTAAGGGACGAGTAAGATATATTTGGGTAAGAATGACTAATCCTCCTAATCACTTTAATACAACACTACAATCAATTCGAGTGCAAACTTATGATAACCTAATCTTCAGATCAAGGGTAGCCCCATTTCTTTAAGCACTTCAATATTGGCAATTCACTAGCGAGGAAAAATATATTCGGGAGATGTGTTATTTTTTCCACTTCGTTTTTTTCTCTTTGTATTAATTTTTTTTAACATTCCCCCACTGCTTACAATTTCTACTAGTGATTCTTTGTTTGCACAAGTGTGTAGACATGTGATTTTTGACTCTCCCCAGGATTTTTCAAATTTTAGCACGCAAATATTTAATTTAGGCCTAATATAGCTATTTCAACTAATTTTTACTTTTTTATTTTATTTTATTACAAGAAAACAAAAATTACAAAAAAATAGTTTCATTAATATTTTTTAGTCATTTTTAATCTTGAAAAATACCCAAAAATATTTTTGTTTTAACTGTCAGTCTTATTTTAATAGTTATTTTGCTTACGTAAGATTAATTAATAAACGAGATCGTATTTTTAGTCTCGTTCACGGAGAAAGAATAAATTTGGGCTCAAGCAACCCATTTTTAGGCCTAGTTTTTGGATCTAACCCATAGTTCTCAAACCCATAATTCCTAGGCCCAGACCCCTTGACCGAAATATAACCCTAAAATCCTAAACGTATAAAAGGAAGCTAGACCTAACGCCTACAATGAGCTAAAAAAACACGGCTAGAGCTAAGACCCTAACACTGAAAATCAAGCGCCGCAATTCTCAAAAAGAAACCCTCCCCCCATTGCTTCTAGTCTTCCTCTTCAAAGAATCGACGGACAATCCACCATTTTTGAACAAAAATGAAGAAGGGTTAAAAGCCTTCAGCTGCTGGAACGTAAAGAGATTCACCATCACCCTCACCTCGCCGGAACAACCACGAACTAAACTTCCTCTTTCACCTTCAACCTCCATCGCGAACCCGCCCTTTACCACCAAGCAGTGTCTCTACCAGCCATCGAGACTTCTTCGTCTAGAACGCAAACACACGCACACGCTGAAGCAACAGAGAAGCAAGGGCAGTGAACGAAAAAAAGGGCTGAAAAAAGTGAGGAGCCCAAAAGCTCGTTTAACAGTCTTTTCCGGCGAGTCTCGAGTTTTTTCTGACTGTTATGCTGGTTCCTTGTCGAGGTTGAATCCATCTTAGAGCTCGTTTGTAAGATCTGTTCGGCGCTAGATATTGAAGTTTCTGAGTTCGTTGAGGTCCGGTGCATCGAGGTCGTCAACCGTAGCTCTGGCCGGATTTTTTTTGTTCATTGTTTCAAAAACGTATTGCTATATAAAGGTCCATCTCTCTTCTCTTTGTCTTACTGATTTAATTGACTTAGAGTGATCTTTCTTCTATGGTTGACCATGCTCAATTTATGGTATTGTCACCTAAGTCTATCAAATTTTGATGTGAATAACTAAAATTTTGTTTGGTATTCGTGATCGTTTCATTGATCTTACTATTGCTATCTCTATTCTTTGTTTGTTCCCCTTTGAAACTTGGAGCTTTTCCCTTTAGCTTGCCTTGTTGGGAGAAAGAATTTGAACTGATGTTTTGGTGAAATGAAAACTGTCCTTCTGAAAGATGGGAAAAGGGATATTGAATTCATTGTCTTAGATAGTCATGTGGGCATTTTGAACTTATTTTTAGTGAAATAGTATTCACATTCAGAAACACATATGGATAATATCGTTTTTATCTCACTGCTTTATTAGTTGGTCCGCTAGTAGCATGCTTAGGTCGTCAATAATCATGAATCTCGTAGTTTTCTTTAAGCACATAATTGAACATCACAACTATGGTTACGGTTCCCGTGACGTGGTTGTGGTACTTAGTCTTTTAGATATAAGTAGGAGTATTAAAGTTTGCCTTGGCTAAATACAAATATTTTCTTTAAAATAATTTGAGGTGCGCCATACACAAATAAAATCCTATAATCTATGGCCCTCACATAAATACAAAATTAGTATGAAAAATGCCTTGAATTCTCGTAGTTTGCTTTAGGTGCGCTAATTAATAAATTATTATAGCTACGGGTACGGTTCCCGTGACGTAGTTGTGATGCTTAATTTCTAAATCCGGGGGTACATTTATGTGACCCGGCCACAATTTTAATCTTGTTAATATGTTGTAGATCGTGGGTACCGTTCCCGTAACATGATTCACAACGTGTAATCAAATAATTAGCTGAATGACAATTGGATTATTAAAAGCGATTTTAAAAGGGATAAAATGCACATAGGTTTCAAAGATGTTTTAAAATCAAATAAATAGGCCAATAATAATAGTTGAGTGACCGTGCTAAAACCACGGAACCCGGGAATGCCTAACACCTTCTCTCGAGTTAACAAAATTCCTTACCCGGATTTTTGTGTTCGAAGACATTAAAACAGAGTCAATCTTTTCTCGATTCGGGATTTAAACCGGTGACTTGGGACACCATAAATTATCCCAAATGGCGACTATAAATTTTTAATAAAATAATCCCATTTCGATTGTCACTTAAATTGGAAAAAACTCCCTTATACTCCTTCTGGGGTAGGAAAAAGGAGGTGTGACAGTTCTGATGACTCTGCTAGGGATAAGAACCCAGAACTTCTGGTTCAGGGTTCAGAATTCGAGCTTAGAATAATTGTTATATTTGGCTTTATTTATTATTTGATTTTACTTACATGTTTGTGCCTAATGTGCTAAATATTGCTTCTTACCGCTTTGATATTATCTGAATTGTATATAAACTACTACGACACCCTTCTCTTCTCATCTTCGGGGATGTGCATGCTGGCGTGACTCCTTTTCTGTTAGTGTCATACCTTAAATTAGGAATAGGCTCGGACAAGTTACAAAGCCGGATGACCTTTTGGTTCGTGGTACGTAGCCCCCCCTCGGCTCGAGTTGTCCGCTCGGGTACACAAGTCTAGAACAACATACCTAGGTTTTGAACCTAGAATAACTCAGTCTCATGCTGGATTCCTAGTAGAAACGCTTGTTTGTATCATATGCATTTGACTTTGGGGACTCAACACAGGGGTTGGGTCCGTCTAGGACAAGTGTACCCCAAAATAAAAGACCATCTTGATGCATCCTATGTGTTACATGTTGCATTTCTTCAAGGGTAAAAGAGTCATTTGGCGGACCGATGATAGTTGAAGGCAAATGAAAAAAAAGAAAAAAGAAAAGGAGAGGGTGAAGTGTGAAAACAAAACAAGTAGGACCCAATTATGTTTTCTGTCACATTTTTGTTAAGAAAAAAAAACATGAAAAATTCAAAAAAAAAAAAAAGATTTTGCACTTTTTCATCATTTTCCGAAAATCAAAAATCCGAAAAAAGGAAAATCCAAAAATAGCAAGTTTACTGTTTATCCGATTGGTTTGTGACTAAAACAGAAATCGTATGCCTCGTTCATCACTGTTTCATTTAGAAACTTTCATTTCCTTGTTCTCGTTGTCGATTCTGGTTCTGAAGTTTGTGATTTCTTCATTTTATGTGATTGAATTACTGACTTGAGCTTTGATTCGAAGATTTGAACCCAAAATTTACAATCAGCTAAATTTGAGGAGAAGTGAGTTTCAACAGAACATCGACTCGATCTTTCTGAGTTGATTTGTATCCGTGAAGTCGACTCGAGTTCCTTGTTGCTCGGTGACTGAATCTGTAGAAGGAATTTGAGCTCAGTTCTTGCTTGAGTTTTTGAGTTGTTTAACTTCAATTGTACTGGAAAGTTTGACTAGCTGCTGTTGAATTTTGATCGAGAACTTGTTGTCAAGTTTTTAGTTGAATCTGATAGTGTCTACTGCTGCACTGAATACTTGTGTGAATTTTTCGATGTAATTTCTGCTTTGGTTTCTGCTGAGTTCATTGAGTAGTTTGGTCAAATTTTGGTTGGATTTTGAATTGGATACCTAAGTTTCTAAACTGAAATTCATCTTAGTCTACTGTTGAATGAGAGGCTTGAATTATTGAATGGTTTTGGTTCTAGTTTGGGAGTTAAAGTTGATTTCTCTGATGTATTGAAGCTGAAAATTTGGTATAGCTGTTCCAACTGCTGAGGTTCTGATTCAATGCTGTTGTGATTCCAATACTTTGTTTCCACTATTGAGGTCGACATTCTGAGCTGGAAATTTGTGTCTACTGCTGCTGAATTTAGTGCTCAAGGTGTTGCTGAAGTTCTGAGCAGCAATTGAATAGCAAACCTACACCAACTTGTTCGAGTCTTAGAATTTTGCATTTAATTGAAATCTGTTGATTTAATACAAGTTCCCTAAGCACTGTTTTTATTTTTCTGCAACATTTATTGAACCTGAAATTGGGTTTGGACATTAGAGCTTGTTTGAAGAATTTTGAACTCAAATACGAGTGTTTTGGACTGCTATTGGAAGCTGTTGAAACAACCTTAAAATTCTGCAGTTTTGTGTCCAATTAAGCTGTTGAAAATTCTGCAGTAGCTTAGTGAAGTTTGAGCATCAGTTTGGATTGTGAATTGACCAGCTTTAAGCTGTAGTTGTGAAGGGTTAGTTACTGCCAACTTGCACCAGTTTTCTATCTATTCTTCCTTTGTTTGGATTGCTGAAAGTCTTCAGTTTTGCGACAACATTTGAGCTGCACATTCTTGTGGAATAGAATCTGAGAATTGGCGTGCATTGAGGGTCGATCAGTACTTGCATATCTTAAGTCTCTGCTGTATTTTCCTACCCAGTTCTTCCTCAGCTATACACAAAGTTCAGCGGGCACAAAACCTGCCTGGTTTTAGAAGCTTTACACCAACTTAGTTCCCAGAAACACTGCAGAACATTCAGCTGAACTATTGCTTCTGAAATCCTGAACTCAAAGAGGGACTTAGCTTCAGATAAAAAAAAAATTTGACAGCAAACTTCCTGCAGCAACTTGATTGCAAATCTAGCCAGTTTTGCAAAAATAACCTCTTTTTACAAATATGGCCACAAATTTGAAGAGTATCTAGTTTTGTAGTTTCTTTTATTTTCTTTCTTTCCAATTTGTAGTGAACTAAACTCTCAACTAGATTAACTTGATATTAGTTCATATTGAGTTTTATTTTAAAAAAAAAAGAAAAAAAGAAAAAGAGAACGTTAGTTCATTTAGTCTATTTTCGATCTGTCCGAACTACGCATACCTGATTCTCGTCTTTCGGGACGTGATACATAGTCAAACCACATAGGGTCCGGTCTTCCTAGTAAATCTAGGTTCTTGGCTTTGTGGGGTCATAGCCAAATTTTGCACTTCTAGCCACCTTTTGGCCAAATAAGCTATTTTGCAAAAATAGCCTCAATTATGTCTTGCATGTGTCCAATAGGGAGTGTTATTGTCTCACCTAGTGTTTGTTTGAGTTTTTTTTTTATACAAGTGTGGATCTACTTAGCGGGGTTTGAGCATAACAGACACCCCGTGACCATCCAGTCAGGATCGCTCATTCAGGAGTTGCTTAAGGAGATTTGTTTTAGTTTTTATGTTTTGAGTATGTTCTTCATTTTATGTCATCTTTTACTTTTTAGTTTTGTACAGTAACGTCAAGTCTTTTGTTATTGTACTTTCTACTTTATATTTGAAAAAGTGTGCTGTAACTCAAAAATCAAAAAAAAGAAGAGATTTCGCGTTTTATATTTCTGTTAGAAATTTTCTTTAGAATACTAATTCTTTTAAGATGGTTTTTCTTTAGGAAATTAATATCTAGAACTCAAAATAAAAATTGCTATTATATTTAGTTTTAGTACATTAAGACTAAAAATTAAAAAAAAAAAGAAGAGAATTTTCTTTTAGTACCTCTTTAAAAGTTTTCTTTAAGATTTTAATTCCAAAAATCCAAAAAGATTTTCTTTGGAGGTGCTTCTTTGGGAAATTGATGAAAAATAAAAAAAAAACCTTTTCTTATTTTCATTAGAACTTTAGGATATTGTCATAGAATAAAAAAACATACTTTTTCTTTGGTTTATTTTCAGAGTTTCCTCCTTAGGTAATCAAAAATTCAAATCGAAAAATAGTTTTTTTATCTTGTTCATTTCTTGTTTCGAAATCTTTTCTTCTGGATATCAAGTGAAAATTCAAAATATTTGTCTTTGGTTTATTCTTTAGATTTCCTTCTTAAAAAAAAGAAAAAATCAAAAATATTTTTCTCTTGTAGGATTTTTTCCTTAATAATTTCCCATAGAGTATTTGTTTCAAAAAAAAAAAGAAAGACCTGCTCGTTAAGCTTGAGTTTAGAGTAGGTTATAGAACATTCAGTGTAGAAAAAAAATTGCTTCTTTTGTTTCTCTTTTCTCATTAGAGTAGTCATTAAGGTAAAAAAAAAGAGAATGTTAGTTTGTTTACTTTATTCTCGTTCTTCCCAAACTACACAAAGATCTAATTCATACGGTGTCATGATACGTAGGCAACCTACATAGGGTTCGATCGGATCATTTTTTATTTATTAAAAGAAAAGAAAGAAAAAAAACAACCAAAAAAAAGGAGATGAAATCATGGGATGTGAGAAATGAGAGGGAAGAAAAGAGCGATAATCAGAAGAAAAAAAAGGAAGGAAAATGAGCGAGTTAAGAATTGCGAGCAAAGAAAAGAAAAGAGAAGATTCAATGGACAAATTGGGATGATGCCAAGTGACCTTGTGACCCTCGAAGTCATTCTTGAACCGTTAATTGTTGCTAGGTGCATTGCACGAAATGTGATATTTTTAGTTGTTAAATGCCCTAACACTAACATGATGACTTCATTTTGTTCCTCTTTGTTCTCCTCATTATAGCAGAAGGGTGGTTGGTTTGTGTTTCTTAAGGTAACTCGTCCATACAACACAAGGTCAAAGGGCAAGGTACCAATGGCTAGCAAAAACTTGGGCACAAGAGTTGTTGACCCGTCAAGGGAGTTTGTGGAGTCAGAGTCTGAATTAAAAGAGGAGGTCTAAAAGGTGAAATAACAGATGGTAGAAATGTATTAGTCTTGGATCAAGGGGCATCATTCACCTTCATTCCCCACTGATTACACTGAAAACCCTGCAACTATCCCACCACTATCACAAATCCAGATTCCCACTGCTGCTGATATCTCCCCACGACCTTTTCACACTCCACCCACCAAAACCACCTCATATCCCGCTCTTTTGGCCACTCATACTTTTACAGCTCCTCCACCAGCTATTTTTCCTCGATCCTCTAACGAGACTGTGTTCAAAGTCCCTGATGCCCAACATTGTGCTCCAGAACCAACTTTCAAAGTCTCGGATCCATATTCTCATATTCCTTATTTTGAGCCTCCCGGTGAAACTAAAAAGCCTGCTAAGACAGTGGAGCAAGACGAGATATCCAGGAAGGTGAAAATCTTAGAGCAGTCTTTAAGAAACATGCAAGGGATAGGGAGCCAGGTGAGCGTGGCTTACAATGACTTGTTCTTGTTTCCTGACGTCCAACTGCCTGATGGGATTAAGATGCAAAAGTTTGATTTATATGACGGATATGTAGATCTCGTGGCCCATTTGAGAGGCTACTGCAGTAAGATGAGAGGCGCCGGTAGGAAAGACAAATTATTGATGGCGTATTTCAGACAAAGTCTGAGTGGGGCAGCTGTGGAGTGGTACACCCGCCAAGATGCTAGCAGGTGGTACACGTGGGATGATATGGCTTAGGCCTTTGCCAGGCACTTTTAGTACAATATATAAATTGTCCCAGATTGCATGTCCCTAACCAAGATGGAAAAGAAGCATAATGAAAGCTTTAGGGAATACGGGCTCAGATGGAGAGAGCAATCTGCCAGAGTCAATCCCCCGATGGAAGTAAAAGAGACGGTCGAGTACTTTCTCCAAGCTCAAGAGCCAACTTACTTTGGGCATTTGATCACAGCTGTGGGTAGACCTTTTAATGATGTGGTAAAAATGGGAGAAATGGTAGAAGATGGGTTGAAGTCGAGCAAGATCATGAGCTATTCTACTTTAAAAGCAACAACACAAGCAATTCAGAACGACACAGGAAGCTTGCTGGGTCAGAAGGAACACGATGATGTTGCCATGGTTGTTTCAGAGTCACGACATGGACCAAAGGGCCCGCCTCACCAACATACCCAGCCTCAACTCCAACCCCAAACCTATTCTCGAGCTCCACATAATCCACCTTAGTATTATCCCCCGAACAATGTCCGGTCATCTGTCCAACCACCAGGTCGCTCCCTATGGCAAGCACCAACACCGCATAATATATTCTTGCCTTTACAATATTTTTGAGCACCCAAAAACCCTAGGAAATAGGGGCAGGGAAGAGAACAAAGGCAAAGAAATAGTTTCACGCCAATTGGGGATTCCTACACAAGCTTGTTTGAAAAGTTAAAGCATTCTGGCCTGATTGAGCCGCTCCTCGACTATACTCCAGACCCATACGCAAAAGGCTTTGATTCTACTGTATGATGCATGTACCACTCTAATGTCCAAGGGCATAGCATTGAAGATTGTCGTTCTTTGAAAATGAAAATAGAAAGAATGATTCAAGAAGGGGTAATTGTGATCAATGACAGTGGCAGGGAACATGCAAATCCTCTTGGGAACTTGCTGACTGAAGTTAATGATATTGAAATTGTTAATGGTTTTGGAAATGTTGATGTGGAACCCAGTGGCTAAGATGTCGTGCTTGGTAATTGGAAAGACGCTCCATCTCTTGGCTAGCTGGAGAGGAGTCTTGGTGGTTTATTTTGTTGTCATTTCTGTTGTCCGGGTTATTTTCAGGGTTGTAATCCGGATATTGTCTTGTGATTCAAACCCTTCTATCCTTTTATTTTACCTAGTTTGTTTTCTCGTAGTAACTCGTTTAGTGTTGTCTAGGTTTGTTCCAGGGTTGTAACCCCAGTTTATTTTACTTGTTTTGTTGTTCAAACTCTTTCACCATCTGTCTAATGTAATTTTCTATTTTCTGTTATTTCTAGTTATTTTTTGTTTAGTTCTCTTTTCTTTTATAGTTCCTTTATGGCTGGCTCTAGTGACATGACATGCACACATAATTCCAAGCATGGTCTTAAAGTTAGTTTAATCATGAGGCAATGAAACAATTTTGAAGATGATAGGGAAATTTGAGGGAAATAAGTAAAGGAATTTTGAGATCACTTCAAGCTCAAATTGTGTGAAACTGGGGCAGATAAAACATAAAAACCTTATTGAAATGCATCATGCCGCATCGGGTAGAAGCTAAAGGCAAGTTTGCCCCAAATTGGCAGGGGTCGTTCGTGGTAACACGAGTGTTGTCCAATGGTGCTTTGTATTTAACAAATGTAGAAGGCAAATGGGTGGATATGGCTATCGATTCTGATGTAGTTAAAAGATATTACACATGATTTCTTTGGTTTGTTTAATTGTGTTGTTTGTGTTTGGCCTGCTTTGAAGATTTGAATGCTGAAGGCATTTTATTCTGCTATCTAAATACTT